GCCCCCAGCATGGCCTGGCAAGGCTGGCCTGCGCAGTGGCTGTGGGTCGCCGGCTGCGGGCTGCTGCTCCTCGGTCTCGTCCTGCTGCTCGGCCCCCGCGGCTGCCGAGCGCGGCGGACCCTCCGTGGCCTGCTCATGGCGCGCAGCAAGCGGCTGCTCTTCCGAATCGGGTTAGTGCCGAGCTCCGGCGGGATGCGGGGCTCGGGAAGGCGAGCGCGCTGGGAAAGGGGGCTGAGAGGCGGAGGCCCGGGAAGCTTGGGGGTTCGGACGGGGCTAGGGCTAGGGGATCCAGGGCCAGAGAAGAGCGATCAGGGAGGCAGGCTGGAGACCAGTGATTTGGGGGGACTAAAGGGAGGAGGCTTGGAGGGGCAGGCCAGGGTAGCCAGGGAAAGGGCACGGGAGAGGACATCTGGAGAAAAGCGCCACATGAGGGGCTGGAGACCAGGGAGCTGGAAAAGGAAGGTGGGTGCGGAACCCCGGGCCGGAGGCCCCCGTTTGACAGGTGCAGGAGAGAAGGAATGCCTCGGGCATCTAAGCGTCACTTGAAACCGCCAGCTCCTTCCTGCGTCCCTGCCCCTCTCCCCATCACCCAGCTCCCCACCACACCATGTGAGCGCTTCTGTCCCAAGCCAGAGTCCCAACTCTGCAGGTCAGTCTGGCCCTTTCTTTCTATTCCCACACACTGGCCCGTGTCCAAAGCCCCAGGCTGCTCCCTCAGCCTGACCTGGCAACGTTCACTGACCCTCTCCAAGACTTTCCCTCTGGACCCCCCTGCCTCCCAGTCCTCACTCACCCCTTCCCCCTACTTCTGTCCCTTCCTGGGCCGGGCAAGCCTGGTAACCAACTCTGATCTGCCATGAGACACTAAGAGGCAGGGAAGGAGCCCCAAGAAAGTCTCCTAGGGCCCCTATCCCCTGTCCACTACCAGCAAGGCCAGGGGGCAAGACCTCAACCCCCAGAGGAAGGAGAGTGATGTTGGGGACACGAACTGTGGGAGCCCTGGCCACAGGCCAGCTTCGGGGGAGGGCCTAAGCCTGGGAATTTCCTGAGCTTCAGAGAAGGCATTGTACAATCCACCCCTCTTCCCCAGGCCACCCAAGATATCCCAGAAGCTTCAGCCCTAGGATTCTGCTCACACTCCGTCTAAGAAATAGAGCTATAAGGGGCTAGTGGAGGAAAAACTGGAAAATCATGGCGGGGGAGGGAGAGTCTTGTGTGTGTGCCTTTTGGAGCATTCACATCTCTTATTGCCCAAACAGTGGTCACATTCTCAATTATGCTCCAAGTCACCATTGCCCTGCAAATAGCATTAAAATAATGAGATTTACAAATATGTAAATATCTTCATATTTGGGATTTAAAAACATTTCTCCCCACCAAATTTCTAGGAATTTTACAGCTCTATTTGGGGAAGGATTTTTAAATCTACTTCTGGCTTTCAAGATTGGTAACATTGCAGTCATACAAACGGCCTGAGGAAGTGGAAAATAGACGTTTGCACGAGGAACTGAAATCAGAAGTCCTGAGATCAGAATTCCCAAGATTGCCATCTCAGAATTCTGAGAGTTTGGTTGTTCCTAGAACCTGGGATCTGGGAGTTTCCAGATCCTCAAACTTGGAATTCCCAGAGAGCTTCTTTAGAATTCTCAGAGAGCTTCTTTGGGATTCAGAATTCCTACGGGCTTTCCTGTGTCTGGATTTCAAGGTTGGCTTGGAATCAGTTCCCCAAATTTGCAGAGCAGAAGGGCGTGCCTGGAATCAGAATTCCAGATCCTGCCCCTCTATAGTCTGGGAAACAATCAGTCCAGTCCCCTGGGGGAGAGGCCGCTGGCTGCTGGGAGGGACCGGGGTGTTAGCAGGAAATGGTCTGGGGGAAATGGGCAGGTGTGGATGCTGTGGGGGTGCCTCCAGGAAGGATGGAGAGGAAGGGGGATGGGATGGGCAGGACATGATGGGGAGGGGCAGCGTGCATGGGCACATTCTATCCTAAACGTGTGGCTGAGATGACCACAAATAGAGGATTCCAGGGCAGGCTAGAAAGCAGATGGTGGAAACACTAAGCGGCAGCTGGGAGAGAAGGGGTTGTTGTCGTTAATGACAATAATCACTGGTGTTTTGACAATCTGTAAAGGGCTTTCCTCAAACATAACCACAGTTGTCTTGAGATGGGGATAAGTGGCCACAGCGGAGGGTGGATCCGGGCTGACCGCAGGGAGGCACACGCATCGGGGACTCTGTGGGGCCTGGGAGACGGTGTGTTCGAGTTAAGCACATAGCATGTGGGTCTGACAGATCTGCTTTTGAATCCTAGCTTTGTTGCTTAGTAGCCATGTGACCTGGGACAGATAACTCAGCCTCTCTGTGCCTCAGTTGTTTGCGTCTGTGAAATGGGCATGGTAATGGTACCTACCTCCTAGGGCTCCTGTGAGGGTCAGATGAAATCGTGCAGTAAGTGCACAGGGCCTGGCTCAGGAAATGTTAGCAACTGCTTGTTCTGTAGCATGGGGCATGGGTGGGAGGGAGGGCGGTTGGCAATGGCCAGACTCCTTCTGGAGATTCCTTACGTACTTCTGCTCCTGGCTTCCAAGCCTGTCCTGCCCACCCATCCGTCAGGAAATCCCACATCCCTTCATTCATGCAGTGACCCCCTAACTGCCCTGGGTCGGGATCGTGGGATCACAGATACGAGCAGAGACTGGTCGCTGTTGTCAAGGAGTCAGGGAAAGGAACGTGTGAACAGGGACTCAGAGGGTGGCAGGAGGCAGGGCGTGACAAGTTCCCTGGGAGTGACAGTGTATGCTTGAGGAGGCTGGGATCAGGAGTGTGTGCCCCTGATTCGTGCCTCTGTTTCCCTCTGCCCCTTTGCCTTCTCCTGGTAGTTGAAGGGGGTTTGCAGAACGGCCCTGAGCAGAGCCTCTGTCTGCAGGGCCGTGGGGTGAATGGGGAACAAGGCTGGGCTTGTGCAGGGCTGGGAATGTCTTGCAGAGCTAAGGAGGTGGATGGCGGCCAGCCTTTGGGAATGGACGGTCCTGGCTGACAAAGCCCTCCCTTCCTCCCTCCCTGAGCAAGCCCCCTCTTCATTCCTAGGCATGGAGGATCTTTCTTGACCCTCCTGACCCAAGGAAAACCAACTGTCCCCGGGACCAGCCTTGCTTGCTCCACTTCCACAAGAGGAAACGCCTTCTCTGGGGCCAGTGAGACCCACTGGCTTGATTTCCAGGGGTGGCAGGAGTCCTGAGCCCTTGAGTGCATGATCCAGCTGCCTGTGGCCTGAAGGCCGGGTAGAGGCGGTGGTCTGGGCCATCCACAACACAGCCTGCGGGCCTTTGGGACCTTGGGGAGCTGCAGCCCCTCAGCCTCTCTGCTCTCCCCTGACCCAGCTTCCCCTCTGCTGTATGCCCCCTTCCCCAAGCCGCAGGAATGGAGTCCCCACCCCTCACCTGGGTCTTTGGAGCCCTCCCACACCCCTCCAGACCTGTCCAATTCCATCTTTCCCAGGCCCTGAGCTCTTTCTGTACCTCTCTCTGGGGCCTCTCAGACCTTCTTTCCTCCCTGCGTCTCTACTTGTCAAATCCTCAAAGCTCGCCTTCAAAGTAGACCTAAGATCTGAACACTATCCCCACCCCCACTGCTGCCGCCCTGGGCCGAGCCACCGTCATCTCTCAGCTGCCCTCCCAAAGTGACTGCTTCCTTCGGCCTTTGTACCCTTAAAACATTCTCAACACAGCAGCCGGAATGACACTATGAAGATTTAAGTCAGAAACACATCACTTCTCTGCTCAGATCGCTCAGAATGGCTTAGAGGCCCTGTGTGACCTGCCCATCCCCCACCACACCTTTTCTGCTCTTCTCTTTGCTCGGCCGCCCAGGCCACTTTGCTGTCCCTCAGACACTCCAGGACAGTCTCACCTCCGAGCCCTTTTGCTGCTGTTCTCTCTCACTAGAACCTTCTTCCCCTAGATAGCCTCATGGCTTGTGCCTCACTTCCTTCAGATCTCTGCTCAAATTTCGCCTTGTTAAAGAGGCCTGTCCTGACCACCCCATATAAAAATAGCAACGCCCTCACACCTGTGCTTTCTAGGGCCTCTACCCTGCTTTGTTATTCTCCATAGTACATATCACCATATGACACACTTGACTTAGTGACTTGTCTATTTGTTTATTGGGTTTTTCCTCCAACTAGAATATGAGCCACATGAGGGAAGAAACTTCATTCTTGTATTTCAGCTTCTAGAATAGTACCTGGCACAGAGTTGGCCCTCATTAATGTTTTTTGAATGAATGAATAAAAAGCTTGGCCCAGGGCCGTCCCCTCCACGAAGCCCGCCCAGCCTCCCCAGTCAGAATTCATCTCTGCCTCCAGTGTGGCCCTGGCACTGGCTTCCCTCTTAGAGCGCTCATTGCGTATTCTTGCTTGTTCTTGCGATAGGGGTTCACAGGTCTGATTCCCCCACTGGACCCCACAGGCCTGGCCCAGGGAGCAGGAGTGAATCAAGAGGGCCTGGGATCGGGGGGAGAGAGAGTGTGGGAAAGCCAAAAGAAACAGACCAAATCCCAAACCAAACAAGACCCAGGGGCCTTGGCTGGGCAGGTGGCCCAGAATCACGGGCAAGGAGACAACTAGTCCAGGCCTCCCGGCCAGGAACGAGACACGGGGAGAGGCCGCCAGCAGCCGCTGCCCCCGATCCTCCCCACGAGCCCTCAGCAGCAGCTCCTCCTCCCTCGGGGAAAGATGGCGAAGTCTGGAGAGGGCTGAGAAGGCTGTAGAAGAGCATTCCCGGGGTGGGCACGGAGACAGTGGACACAGGCCCGCCATCTCCCGGCCAGGCCTGGGTGTGACCGCGTGCAGACACTGCCCCTCTCCTGGGCATGGGGAAGTGCCCTCCCCCAGGCCTGCTGGCAGCCTCAGGAAGCTCACCCTCTAGGGCCTTTCTAGCTGTCTCATTATCTTCTTCAGTTTCCTCGGTTTTGAGAAAGCACAAAACATTGAGCAGCTCTCTTTGTTCCCGAGGGAGCGGCCCCCACTCCAGAACTCTGTGTCCTGGGGGCCCTCCAGGTCCCTCTGCCCTCAGACAGGCATTTCCAGCTTTGGTTCATAAAGAATGCCCTGTCGCTGGTCAGATACAAAGCCTCAGATAGGCAGATACAAAGTCAGATACCAGCAAGCTGG